CATTTGCAGGTTTATTGACATAAAAAGAAAAACACGACCAAGGACTCTTACTTTTTCTGATGAGTTTTTTGTCTAAGAGATCTTTGATCTCTTTCTGACAATACTGAAGCATTTCCTCATTCATTTGAATAGGTCTAGCTTTAGTAGAGATTTGACTATCTTTAAAATCTGACTCATAAGGAAGACTAACAATATGCTTCTTCATGTTCCAGAAAGCATTAGGAAGATTAGAACAGATAGAACAATGGATAGAACCCAAAAGGGATTGGATCCTTTTCTGAAGTGAAGAATTCCTTAATTGTTTTTCAATGTTGGCAAAAGAAACTTCTTCTTTTAGAAAATTAATTTGATTAATTTTATTTTGGATAGAATTGATATTTTTAGTAAAAGATTTACTAGAAAATTTGAAAGTTATTTGCTTACCTAAATGATAGGTGGAAATACCTTCTTTCAAAATCTGAAGTGGGAAAAGGGCTTTAATAAAAAGTGTTCCCAAAATCACTTCATTTTTCAAATTTTTTACAAGGAGAAAGTTTGTTTCGATCTTAAATCCTTGATTTTCTATAACGACTCTGGATAATTTAGAATTAATTTTGAGCTTCAACCCACTAGCAATGCTGAGTTTTTCAAAAGTTTTCTCAAAATATTTTGTAGGAACTAATCTTTCTAAAATACAATTTGAATCAGCACCGGTATCAAAGAGTGCCAAAGTTTCAAGAACAAAATCATCAATGATAATTCTGATGTTAATGTAAAATTTTTGAATTTTGACTTTGTTGATTAAACACATAAAAGTTTCTTCCAGATTACCAGAATCAATCTTTTTAGAATCATATTTTTCAAGAGGTTACTCTTTCTTAACTTCAGACTCAACATCATCTTCAAGTTGGGAAAGAATAACCTGATGAATTTGTTGTTGTTCCTTAATATCCCTAATCTCTTTCTTAAGATTGTTAAATTCAATCTGGAGATCATGGATAGTGGTTGGTTTAATATTAGAATTTTTCTCTAATCTTTAGAAAATATTTGTTATATCAAATTTATTAGTAGTAAAATATTCTTTGGGTTTTGGTTTTGATTCTAAAACATCTTTGAATTTGTTAAAAAATTCTTTTCTTTCATGAAGATCAGAAATAGAACTTATTGCTTCTATAAGAAGATCTTGTTCTTTTGTTAAAACATTGATTTCTGGAGTATCATCACTATTAGAAGAAGAGATTCGATCATCACGTTGAATTTGGTTGACATCCTCATTGATTTCCTTGGCAGAATCTTCTTCAGAAGATTCAATAAGGAGGTTATTGATTTGATCCTCTACGGAAGGATCAAGGTTGAGGCTACTAATCTTTTTCTTAAGCCTGTAATATTTACTGATATGGTCAGGTTTACCACTGTTGTAACAAGTTACACCTGTTCTAGGTTTCCTAGGGATATTGCTGGGGATGACATTTTCCCCTTGTTTCTTGAAAGGATGTTTTCTATTGTACTTCCTTTTGTAAGTTTTCTTATGAGTTTCAACAGTTTCCCTTTTAGGAGTCTGATTTTTCCTTTTGGTAGAGCAAGAAGGAAGACTAAATTGCTTGCAAAAAGATCCTAAATCTTTCTTGTTCAGGGCTCTTTCCTTGGCTAACTGCTTATGGAGTTTATCTTTTTGACAGACTTTGAGAGCAGTATGAATAATAAAGGCAGTGAGCTTACCATTGTCATAATTATCATAATTAATATCTCCATTAGGAGAGTGACTTCGGAGCTTACTTCTAATAAGATCACCGAAAGACTTAGGAAGGCCATCAAGGTATTTCTACCTCCAATAGGCTTGGTTACAATCTTCTCTTGTCAAAACCCTAGACATAAAAGTATCTTTATACCATTTAAAGTCCTCTAAGGTTTTACATCTAAGATTGGATAAAAGCTCACCAGATCTTTCTCTCCACAAAGAGGGATCTCCAAGAAAATGTTGAGATATAATGTATAATAAGGTATCTTCGGGCATACTTTGGTTAGTAAAATAGCCCATAGCGACAACAGACATATTTTGAAATTTGGAAATGATATTATATTCAGATAGTCAATCAATATTCCAAATATAAATATCATTAGAATTAAAGCTTTGAATATAATCTTGTTTTTCTTCTAAAATAAGATCAGGAGCAGTTGCTTTATTATAATAAAGCTTGGAAGAATTTTTCTAATTATTAACTGGATTTATGGCTAAAACAGAATCTGTCTCAGAATATTATTCCGAATCAGCTTTAGAAATGGCATTGAAAGTCTTGACAAGAGATCTAGTTCTAGGTTTGGCACTAGATTCTTCAGAAGTTTAGGGAGTATCAGGGACAGTAGTGAAAAGACTAGTAATTTTACTAAGTAGCTCATTCTGGTTATCGTCAATGACTTTGGTTCTTTCTTTTTGCCTAAGTTCTAGGATTTTTTGTTTAGCTTTGGCGCTAATCTTAAAAGGCTTGAAAAGAGGTTTTTCTAATCGAGGTTGGGAAGAAGGAGCTATTTCTTCCACCTTAGGTTTAATAGGATTTTCAGAGATTTTTTCTCCTAAAACCTGAAGGTATTTGTTGGTATAATTGGCCTGTTCCATGAGGCCTTGGATATCATTAGGAGTGATAGACTCATCAGGATTCTTGGTTTTCAAAGGAGTAGCCGTGACAGGGTTACCACTTTTGTCTTTCAAATTTTGTAACTGATAATGAGTTGTGGGAGATAGATCACTCTAAACAATTTGTCCATCTTTAATTTGCCAAGATATAACATTAGCAGAGGAGGTACTAATAACATCCTCTTGCCAGGGATAATCCATATTATTATGAATGGTATAAGTATGATACCAATCAAAGAAAGGGATATTTTGCTTGACTTTTTCAAGAAATTGGTAAAATTCCTCTTGGATATCAGATCTATTTTTACCCTTGTAATTTTGAAAGAACCACTCTCTTTAAGGTTTCCATTCCTTAGAGTAAAAATCTTTCCTAAGGGTTTCTTTATCTATAATGAATTTATGAAATAACATCATAAGACTCATTAAGGGAAGAGTAGGTTGGAGATTGGATACTTTCATTTTTTTCTTCTTTTTCAGAGGTTTGATAGACATTTCTAGAAATATTAGAAGATGTATCTAAGCCTTGTAAGTTTATATGTGAAGGATCATGACGAACAGATCTGGGTATTTCAGACCTAAAAGCTTGAGATCTATTGGAAAATGACCTTCTAGCAAAGGCAAAATCAGATCGACTGCTATAAGCGTCAACTCTTAAGGAGAAAGAGTCTCTCCTATCAAAGATTATTTTGACTTTCCTAGAATTATCTTGAGAAATATTTTGAATTTCAGTAGCAGGCCTTGGGACACAAGGCGTAGCCTTATCCAAAACTCACTTTTCTGGGAGAGAAACTTCATCCCATTTGATGATCCTAGGAAGAGAGATATTAGTCTTTGTCATGTCAGTGATAAACAAAGTAGTCTCACCTCTCTAAGGTTTGAGAAGGACTCTAGAAGCACAAGAGTTCATGGCTTTGTACTGAATCTTATAGATTAAGGCGGCGAGAATAGATCCCTCTTTCATGTTTAAACCATGAAAGCAAATATTGAGAAACAGAGAGTCAAGGATATGATCTAAAAGACTCACTGTTTTGTTTGGGAAACAGTTAAAATAAATTGGACCTTGGCCAAGACTAGTCTCTACTGTCCCTATAAAGGAATCATTAAAATTATTATGACGAGGATCTCTAAGACACATTAAGATAGTAGCATCTATACCTATGTCTTGAGAGGTTTGATAGCTACCTGAACACATCCTATGTGGAGGTACTTATATTTGCGCTTGTGCTTATTGATTGAGGATTTGAACAGGAGATGAAATTCTTCTCCTAAATCTTTTCCTAAAGGAATATTATTTCAACAGTCTTAATAATATAATTAAAACTGTTTTTCTTAGAATGTTCTTCAGGAACATATAATATATCTTGAAGAATTTCTGGGATAGTCCAGTCATCCTTGCTTTGGTTGATCTTTTCAAAACGAACTTGTTCGTCGAAGAGGTTATGTTTTGGTGTAATTTTAGGAAACTGTTTCTCCTGATCATTGAAGTAATTGTTTTTGGTTGGAGAGAAAGATGAAGAGCTAGAACCAAAACGGAAAGAAATAAGGGAGAAGAAGCGAAGGAGACACGACATCATATAAAATAAATCTGACACATCACCCTCATTTGGTTCCATAACAACATATCTGTTAATTATTTATAACTCTTTCAACTAGATCTGATTATTAGTAGACTTTTTTTTTTTTAATTTACAAAATCAAAAAATTTTTTACTATAACCACCAACTTTTTATGTTCTTTTTTCTTTTGAATATAACATCGTCAAATTAGCCTTACTACCCTTCAACCACGGGACTTACTGCTACAGCCCTATTCAAAAGAACTAAGAACTGTTGTACTTCCAGTAAAAACATTCCATAAAATAATGAACTATACAAAAGTAGAATTTAAAAACAATTTAAAGTCTAAATCCAAAAAAACATAGTTATAAATAATCAATAGTTATATTTATATATATATATAAATATATATATATATATATATATATTGATAGTTTGCCTATTAAAATTTCTTAAAATATTGTTCGTTTATAACTATTATTATACAATTCTGTTTTAAATGATTCTTAAAATCTAACCATTATCACCAGTTGATATTTTTGTTTAAACAAATTTGTCTAAACAAAAGTTAAACAAAAAGTTACTTATTTTTGTCACAAATTTTTACTTGTTAGAGTGAAAATATAGGTGAGAAAAATCTATTTCTTTTTCATTTAGGTAAAAAATTCTCGCTTATATTCTCTTAAATTAAAAAGAATATTCTCTTCTTTTTTATTTAAAAAAAAAATTCTTCCATTTTAAAAACAAAAAAATGCAAATGAAATTAGAATGTTACAAGAATCCCTGATCCATCCCTGCAGATCACTATAAACAATGCGCAAACCAGAAATTAGATGATATAGGCAACAAATGCCTCCTCTCATGTTTAAAAATGTACACAGTAATATGATATTTATACAAGGATTGGAAAAAATTCTATGCCAAGGACTAAAATACAAAAACACTGCAATCATGTATTAAGAAACTATAGTAACTGCTATAATATCCATGGAAACCTGGTTAAAGTGCTATTTCAAGAGATATCCTAGGAATTCAGGGGAATAGCAAAATCAGAAGATAAAAGAAAATTCACCATAGTATGATAAGCCTATGGGTGAAAGAAAGGCATTACTATCGTATGAAAAGATAAAAAAGAAGCTAGAATCCAATAAAATAGAGGATAGAATACATAATGGAGGATAACATTAAAATTTCATCTAGTTGTATCAGTCTGTGAACTGGAATCTCCTCCTCTACTTGAACCAACTTGATTGTTAGAGTCTGCAGGTGAAGGCACTGGTCCTAGAAGTAAAGGGGTATCTTTCTTTTCACTTTTTGAGTCTTTCTTGGAAGATGGGTTACCAGCCCAAGCTCTAAGCGGAGGCTCAAAAAATTTGCTTGCAACATCAGGAGGAGCGGTGTCGTCCCCAGGAAGCGTGAGAAGACCTTTATCTCGAAGAGAGGATGGCTCATTGAAGCAAGTCGTCCAAAGGGAGTCTACAAGCTGCCTCTCCTCCCTAGCTGCTCCAAGGTCTTCAGCTGACATTAAACTGATCTTGTTTATTCGTTCTTGAAGAAGTTGTTTCATTTTCTCAGTATGTTCTTCAGAGCCATCTTTTGTATTCTGAGCCAACTCAAGAAGGCCTCGAAGGGCAGCTTCTCGGACATCTGAAACTTCGCTAGAGGCAAGGTGCATCAGTATACGAGGAAACCCAAGCTCACTCACAATGTTGCAGTCTGAACTATTCTCGTGCAACAGGTAATGGATCAAATTGAGAGCTTTCCTAAAAGATTTAAAATTAATGAATGTTAGGATTCACTTTTACCCTTTACTAACAAGGGATGAAAAATCTAATTAATCAATGAGTAGAAATACCATCACGTAAAAGATGAACATGATAGAAAATTAATACACAGAACGAATAATAAGGATATTATAGAGTACATATTTCTACTAAATGATAAATTCTGAGGGAACAACAAAATTAGAAATTTATCAGGAAAAACTTCAATTACCTTTGAAATCTCACATTTTCAGAGGTCAGTGCATCTTTTAATGCTGCATAACCATTTGCCAAGCGAAAAGCAGCAATTCCTGGTTTGTTGTGCCGAATTAGTGCTGTCAAGTCATTCGCAAAACAGGAAAGTTAATACCAATTCAACTCAAAAAAACAAAATATCACGACTCCAAAAATTAGTAATACATACAGGATATTGCACCCAGCGCTTTAGTTCTAACGTTTACATCAGGATCTGAACTGAAATTAGAAATAAGAGGTTCAAAGCCATTTGCTTCCATAACAAGTTGCTGACTTTGCGGATTATTTTGGACTATTGTGGTCACAACATCAGCAGCCTTTGCCCGAATTCTGGCATGAGAATTCTTGAGGTAACCAAGAAGAGGAACTAACCCACCAATTGAGTGGAGATCTGGGAAAGAGATAATACCATCGGTGAGACATGCAGTTGTTGCAAAATCAAATGCAAAAAGGAAAATGTACAGATTAACAAGAGCATAAGGTATATATCAACAACTTTCAACAAAAATATAGATATAATATAAAAGCATCTTGACCATTTAACCTAGAATAAACCTATGCAAAATCATAACAATTTAAATGTGAATACCATTCAACATTGACACTATGTTTATGCCCTAATTTTAAAAAGAAGCTCAAACCGTGGACAGAGACAACTACTAAAAGCCACAGAATCAATTAAATTATGATGTACAAATTTACAGGATTTCCCCATTCGAAGTACCAAATACAAGTATAAATAAAACAATTCAAGTCTTCTATTAAAATAATTAGTGATCCGATACTCTTCAACAAAATCAAGTTCATACTTCAAAACAATCCTAAAAACTCACCATTGGCCATATCAATTGACTCAACATGCTCTTGCAACTCATCCAACATATCTGTCAAAAAATGAAGTTAGAAATCGACCTTGAGTGAGTATAAAATTAAGAAAATCACTCATTAACTGAAAATAAAGTGTAGATTATTTTTTATTCATCTTGCTCTTCAGTAAATGCTAGATACCTTCAATGTCTGCTGGGGTAACTCCTTGGTCTCTCAAGACTTGCTCTGGAGTTTGCATTACAAGAGTGATATCTTTCATACGTTTCACAACATCAATGGTCTGTGCTTGCATTGTTTCCATGAACCATCTTCTATCCTCCTCACTACAGGGAAAAAAAAAACAAAAAAACAAAAAAACAAAATCAGAACCTAGTCCACTGAATATTAACTCGATCCTACTGACTCATTTAACTACAAGAACCATTTTTCCTTTTTTTATTTTTAATTTTCGACAACATTATAAATTTCATTAATGAGAGTACACAATTTAGAAACTGGAACCGTGAAAAATGAAATTTGAATAATTTACAACTACAGAATCACAAAACTGTAACAAAATCAGACCCTATGCCAGAAACTGGTACCATGATAAGAAAAGTGAGGGTTATCTATCAACCTACTCCACTAATTATTAATTTCACACTTCATTTATATGAAACCCAAGAAAAAAGGACAACAATTTTGAAATATGGGCATGTTTTTCCAAGCAACTAAAAATGATTAAAAGGAAAAAACATATGATACTTGTATAAACCTGAACTGTGATTAAGAGAACTAACACAACTGAAACTTCCAGAAAAAGGGGTAAAGAAAGAAGAAAAAGAAAGAAAAATGTAAATTTGAAATGAACCTTAAATTGCGATTGGGGCGAGTTCCATCGGAGTGAGCAATGCTCCATTTGAGTAACCCATCCCAGTTGGGTCCGTCTTTGGCCATTCGATTAATCAGAGCGAAACACAAAAACCAAGCAACCTTAACCTTTTCCTTTTCCTTAGGAGTTCCGGAAAGGCTAGTGTGGGATTCAGATATATTGTTGTAGAAGCGTGTGAAGTTAGAACGGTTCGGAAACGTCTCAAGAATTCGGGAAAGTACTGGAAACGAAAGGGGAAAGATGAAAAGGAAAGGGTCAGAATTGGGCTTTCCGGGTTTGGGTTCAATGGGCCTTCGTATGTAAGCCCCCGGGTCCATTTTTATTACTTTCATAATTTCACGACCAAAAAACACAAAAAACTTTCATACTTACAGTATCCACTCAAAATGATCCATTTTCAAATCTCTGAGCGTTACGGGAAAAAACAAGATACACAACTATTTCAGTTGAAATTTACTATTTAGGATTAATTTAAGGGCAAAACTTTCGGAGAGTGTTGTCGGTACTATTTATCGATGCAAATTAGGGTTATATTTTCATATTTTACAATAATATTAAAAAAATTATTAAAATAAAATTTACTTTTATTTATGAATAAAAAATAACAGTGAAAAAAAGTATCTAAATTTTATCTTTAAATTAATAGTATTTTATACTTATCAATTTTTTTATACTTTATATTTTTCTCTGATTTGAAGTATTGTTTGTGTGGTTTATATAATATAATATAATATAATAAAAGAATGAAAAATGTTTAATATTTAGATGGGTTGAAATAAACAATAATAAAAAATGAACTTTTACTTATTTAAATGACTAAAAGATAATAAATTAAATAATTGAATTATAGTGAAAATATTTATAAAAATTAAAATTCATATAAAATAATTAAATTTTTATCTAATATTTTTATTAATAAAAATTATTTTAAATTTTTATGTTATTTTAATATATTTTAAATATAAAAGTGAAATTTAAGAAAAAAAGAACTCTTTCTTCTTTCCGTTTCTCTCTTCCCTTATCCTATTCTCTTATTTACTTTATTTACTCCTAACATGATTTTTTTAGTTGGTCCTCAAAAATAAAAAATTGTCTCCCGTTAAACATCTAAACAAAAGGATGCTTTTATATTTGATGCTCTCTTATTCTCACCTAAGTGTTGCTTTTGGGCCATCTAATTTGGACAAGTATTATACTCACATGTATAGTTGGACAAATATTCTCACATGGATGTCATACACTCTTAGACATATGCAATGAAAAAAAAAATTTAAGGCATAAACATGTATACATGAAATTTTAACTTAATAGTTTATATTTTATAACAAACTATCGTGTGAGATATCCTCTTTTCATTCACAACTTTTAGAGTTTATCTTATTAAAAATATAATTTTTAAAAAGACAAATATTGATATTATTGTAAAAGAAGTTGGTCTAAGTGTGTGTTGTACAATGCAATGGCATATATAATATAACTAAATTTTAGATAGCTAATTGGTACAAATTTAGTATGTTTAATAGATCATAGCACTCATATATGATCCTTGAGTTTTAAAACAATGCTACAAAGGTTGATAAAACTTTAGTAAGCAATATTGAAGAAATGTCTATTAAGAGATGTCCATTATTATCTCTTTCGACTCTTTAGCCAGATTCACAAGATATGAAGGAAAGGTTTTTATTGAAGATTGAAAGTAAAAATCACCAATAATAAAATCAATTAAGTTTTGCTTGAAACAAAGAACTTAGAAAAGATAAAGTCAGTTGCTATGAAGACAATGGCTAGTGTCCTTCACTCCATAATGTCACACATAATATCACTAAGGAAAGGTGTTAAGGATGCAATCACCAAAATGGATAGGTTCTACATCGGTTATATGACTATGCAAACCAAAATTAACCTTTGTTTTATGCTTCTTTACTATTTTCTTGCATGTTCCAATAGGAAGGAAAAGATCACATACATGATGTACTTTATAGAGCTTTTTCGTCTTCACCACATCAAGTTGTAGCGGGAATAGAGTTTAAAGCCACCAACCTTACAGAGATGTAATTCTTGCAAAGGAAATCTTACCTAAAAATAGGAATAGATATCAGATGTGGTGGAAGATGATAAGGACAAGGATGAAGATGAAAAGAATAGTAAAGATGTACATCTCATTGGTATGACCTTAAAGAAACACAAAGGATCAAAAGAATGGCATTATTTGTTCCATAAATAATTGCCAAAAGAACAAAAGCAACAAATTTAACATCTCCTCTTCCCTTTCTTCACACTCCCTTATGATTAATCGGGGTAAATAGCCAACCCAAAGGTGGCTTCCTTCGACACTTGCTCCTTTAAGTCCTCATGAAAGTGCTTGAGTTGATGCCTATTAACCTTGAAACTTTTTTTGGTTCCTATGTCTTGAAGCTCCACTATACCATAAGGAAAACTGTTAACAACAAGAAAAGGACCATCCCACTTAGATCTCAGTTTACCAAGCATCAACTTAAGTCTAGAATTGTATTTCACCAATTTTGAACTCTTTGCGCCCTATCATCTTATCATGAAATGCTTTGGTCTACTCCTTATAGATGTTGGTGTTCTAATATGCTTCCTTACGAATCTTCTTCAACTCTTGCAACTGAAGCTTCCTATGCGAACCGTATGTATCCAAATTCATATTGCACTGCTTTACCACCTAGAATGCCTTGTGCTCTACTTCCATTGGAAGATGACATGCCTTACCAAAATTAACTCAATAAGGGGACATCCCTATCAGCATTTTGTAAGCAATCCTGTATGCCCACACAACATCCTCTAAGTGGAGACTTCAATCCTTCCTGTTAGGGTGGACTATTTTTTCCAAGATCTGCTTAATTTCCTGGTTCGAGATGTCTACTTACCTGTTTGTTTAGGGGTGGCACTACGTAAAAAATGAGATGTAAGAGCGATTCTGCTTGAATTAAGAGAGCGGTTAGCGACGCTTTAAAATCACATGCTATCCAATGTCTTCATTTTTGGAGAGCGGTTATTTAACCGCTCTCAAATGTATATTTTGGAGAGCGATTAGGCGGTTAACCACTCTTAGAAATTTACCAAAGAGAGCGGTTAAGCGCGTAACCGCTCTACAAAATGTAGTACTTGAACCTCTCTCACAAGTTAGACTAAAGAGAGCAGTTGACAGGTTGACCGCTCTCTTATCTCAAACTTATGAGAGCGGTTATAAGTGAACCGCTCTCAGAAGTACATTTTGGAAAGCGGTTCCCATTTAACTGCTTTCCAAAGTGAACTTCTGAGAGCGGTTCACTTATAACCGCTCTCCAAAGTTAAGAAACATTTTTAAATATTTTAATAAAACTGGCATAAAATCTTTTTTTAGCACACCTGGTAAATTATACAGTATTCAGAACCAATTCAAACAGAATATAAAATTCAAACAGAGCCTGATATACCAGAATTTCAGAGCAATTGCACATTGTATTATTCAATTACAACTCACATGTATAGATTACAATCAATCAGAGTCTCATATTTACACATTTTGCCTAGCCTTTACAGAAAATTGTCTAAATATTGTAAAAGAATACTAATAATCTATTTACTTAATGTGTCCTTTAAATATCTATGGTACAGATATGAACACCACTCCTTTTGCAATTGAAAAATTTTGTTGTCAGGAAATGTTGGCATATGCACCTCTAGAAAGTACTGAAATACAAGGACAGGGAAAACAAAGCTTAATTAATTAAGTGAAATAATAAGCATATGGCAAACGAATTGGAATGTGTAAGATTATTACATTTACTGGGATCACAGTTTGTCTATGGTGCAAAGCATCCCCAATGAATAGACACACATAATATCCACAGTCATTATTATTTGTTTGCTTGGGAAACTGTGTGGAAGATAAAAATCAAATAAAACAGCATTAACTAAGAATGATATACAGTGCAATTACACTTTAGGTGAAAATTACAAACATGACATATGATATAGTCTTACCTGTATAGTGACCCATTTTGTTTGACTCATCTTTGTACTAGAGGGCTACACTCCCCTCTCTGCTCGATACGTGACAAGAGCACCAACAGTCGTGAACCAAAGAAATTAGATACATTTGAACCACTTAACATTAATCATAGTTGGTTGACATAAATGAATGCTTACTTGTTAAATAGGTTTTGCATGTGTGTTCTCATCTTCAGCTGCTTGCGTAGAGGGTCCATATAATAGATAATCTCATCAACAGTATTGATGCCAACCAAGACCCAATGTTGCCTACCACGAGTATAAATATCATTTTAAGATTACTAAGTTTAAAAGTTATATGCTAAATTATAAAACATAAAGCAGAGTCTCATTGAGATTGACTTACCCAACATTATAAGGTGCAAATATCAAGTGATCTTCACCCATATGACGCTTCAACATTTCAGCTATATGTTGATGTGGGTTCAGATTGAGCGCTTCGTCCATTTCATATGGAGATATAAATGAGAATCTATTTGCCATTGTCCCATGCAAATAAGCTTCACACAAATATCTTGTTTTGCAAAAGTAGAATTGAACATTATTAAATGAAGGTTATAAAAGTTATAAATTGACTATGAATTATATAATTTGAAAATTAATGTACCGTATGTAAAGGTTAATGCTAGAGGCACTCAACCAATGTCGACGTATGACCTCTATGATGTTTTCCTTCCCCACAATGTCACAAAACTCTTTACCCCAGTGCTCACTTGTTAGTTGAATTGTAGCTATATGAATGGCTTGATCACTTTTCACAAACAACTTCATCATATCCAAGCATGCAACACCTTGGGCTTCTACCAACTTCAGAATCTCTGATGACACACAACCAGTGCTACCTTTATTGGATGGACCAGCAATGGACTCTTTTGAGTACCATGTCTCTTTCCCTAACCCTTTACCTGATGAAAGGGCAACCTAAAAAGAACAAACCTTTTAATTGTAACATCTAGCAATAGGAACTATAAAGAAACACGTTTACATACCTTAGGTCTTAAAGTGATTAGGGACAATGGCCAAGCAACATAAGTACCAATTGCATCTCTCAGGGAATATAGGTTTGCTTGTTCATTTGGGACAGGTAGTGCAGAGTCCTCCTCATGTCGTTGCACTACCTTTATAGAAACCTTACCATGCTCTGGAGGAAGAGCTATATTATGTAAGGAGTCCTCAGCCACTGTATGATATACTCTACC